TCCTGTGAGTTGTAACACCATGATTGGCTGAGATGAGAATAGATTTAGAGAGGCCAGAGCAGAAACAGTTTCAGGTGATGGAAGATGGGGACTTAGAGCAGTGCAAGAATGGTCAGCAGTGGGCATAAGAAGTAACTGGAGACTGAATAAATTTTGAAAATATAAATTCATGGCAGAGAACACGGGCTGTCCTCCTATATCTCTTCTCTCCTTCCTGGGCATAAGAATGCCCCTCTAGAACCTACATTTCCAAGCTTGCAGCAGAGTGTCCATAAGACAAGTTTCTCCCCAGTGGGATGTTTTTTGTTTGTTTGTCTTTATTTTTCTAATGTTTATTTATTTTTGAGAGAGATTGAGCGAGCATGCATGAGCCGGGGAGGGGCAGGGGATATGAAGTGCTCTCTGTGCTGACAGCAGAGAGCCTCATGTGAGGCTCAAACTCATGAACAGTGAGATCATGACTTGAGCTGAAGTCTGAGGCTTAACTGACTGAGCCACCCAGGGACACTACTCAGCAAAAGGATCTAAAGTGGAAGTGTTATGTCAGCTCCTAGCCATCTAGCCATCTTCCTAAAGATGGCTGCCTTGCATTGGTTTTCCTTCATTCCTTCTGGAAATGGCAATGACTGGACCATTTTAGAATGTGTTGAGGAAGGCAGAACTGCCACTACCTTGGAGATGTGAATGGCTACTTTAATGAACTCTTACCAACAAAGAACTAACTTCAGAGGTGTTAAGCCTCTACTTTGTGGTCTCCTTATTAGAACAGCTCAGCTTCTTTCCTGATAGGAGTTCAAAGGATTTGCAGATGGATCAGAAGTGAATGTGGGAGAATGAAAAGAGTCAATAATAACCACAAATACTAGGGCCTGAGCTCAGGCAGAAAGAAATTGTCATTTACTGAGATGTAGGAAACTATGGGAAGGAAAAACAGTTTGGGCAAGGAGATCAAAAATATTATTTGGGCCTGTGCATTGAAGACGTCTGTTAAGCATACCTTTTAAAAATAATTTTTCACTAGACTAATTCATGCATTTAAAAAAACTAAACTCTCTAAGTGCACTAAGTACTGTACAAAACTAAAAAGAGATATTCTTTATTCTCAAGGGGTTCACGGTTTAATGGAAGTCATTTAATGGGCAGAATGTCAGATTAAAATTACTCCCCACAATAGGAATTTCTAGAGAGAAACTCATTCAAGTTTTAATGGCAGTGCTTTTATTACTTAACCCACTTCATATGAATCATTCTGCTAGAATTCCTTTATGATTGTAGTGATCTTAAAATACAAGTATTTGTCAAACATATGCAAATGGCATCCTGCATCTCTTTTCTGCACAAGCTGATTTTAAATGACCAGACGATCTTACTTTTGTATAACTGAATTTAAAAGTGTCTTTTTAGTAAAATTTTGAATAGTTTTGGTTTAATCCAAAGTGATATTGCTGTTGCTACATTTCCTATCTTTGTCTTCTCTATAACTGACCCCACCCAATTAATAACAAAGTCAAGGCCGGATGTCAAGAGGGAACACAGGGGCAGCTAAGGAAAATGTTTGTGACCCTTTTAGAATCACCTCCTTTTATGTCTATCAATCTTGTTTCAGGTACATGCCTTGCATTCTTCCACTGAACAGGGTTCTCTCAAAGTCCAAGACTACCACTCAGGCCTGCTCCTTCATCCTGTGAATCTTGTTTTGATGTGAGACATGACCGCTGCTCAGTAAATACTTGTTGGTTGAATAATTAAGTCTGTAAATAATTTTCCTGACCTGGCCATCGTTTTGTGGAAAAATTTCTCATGTTGGGTTAAAGCAAATAAATAAATACATTAATGAACACAAAGTCAGCACATACAGAAAGTAACCTAATTTTTCTAATGTACACAATATTTAGGTTAAAACATAATGGCATAAAATAAAATTAGATGAGTCTGAGATTATTATTTACTTGGTTATTAGTGTCATGACGGCCAGGGTGACTATCAGAAACTGAAAGCTACTATACTGTATATTATAGCAACACTCAATGTACCATTTGAACTATTTTAGTGTTCCAACTTTCTACTGACATCTTTTGTGCTAGAGAGTTTTTACAAAATGTGGTACCCATTGCATCTTGGGCACTTTTCCCCTGAGCCTTGCCCCAGAGGTATTTTTCACTGTGTCACGGGCTGGAAATAGAGTTGTTTTGAACCAGAAATCTGCCTGGTCTGGAAGCATGGTATGATTAAACTTGTGTCCTTTTAGCCAGGAAGAATTTAATAGCCTCAGTGCAGTGGTTCTCAATGGAAAGAACATAATGCCAGAATTTCACTCTGTTCTTCGTTGCCCCCATTCATACGTTTCATGGGATTTTAGTTGTTGATGTTGTTGTTTTTAACCCAAGAAGGAGATAAATTTATTATTTCCCACAGGGAGATCATGGTTAAAGTTTCTCTGTCTTACTCCAAATCCAGCTGGTTGAACTCAGTGATGTGGGTCACAAACATTTTCTGTCCTTTTATACCTATTTGTCTAAGGACCTTAATATGATATATTGTCATGTTCCATGAACTGATGTTGGGTGTTGGCCATATCTATGTATTAATGAAAATATATTTTATACTTACACTTTCCTGGAAACTTTGCTTCTTTGCTTTATTAATACTTATAAAAGTTTACTCAGTCTAGCAGTAATATTCTAAGCAATTTAAAAATTAGAATACATTTTACACTTAAACAAATATTGTAATGGAAGAAAATAAACTTCATGTCTGTGAAGAGTATTTTGCTAATGTTTTCCAAAAATTTCTATCAATAAGCCAATAAGCCATGCACCACCACCACCAGAGACAAAATACAAGACAAGGTTGATGTGGGAAACTGTATAAACATGTATGTATATATATAAATATACATTAAATAATATAATAAATATAAAAATATACATTTTTAACTATAAGAACAAATTTTCATAATGACCTTAAGTCATAGTGTATTCAAAATAAGAGCATGAACAAATAACTAAGAGTTCAGTAAAAGAATGGAAGCATATATCAATATTCATATGGAATTATAAAAGGTTGTCTAAGTAAATGAAGGGATTGGAGATGGGTGGGACTACAGGGGGGTGTTTTGAATTTCACAAATGGAAGTTGATTTGAAAGAGTCCGTTCCTTGTGAATGAGCCCCAAACAGAAAATAATTATGAGGGTTAAAGACTGTTACATAAAATTCCATAATTTCCCTATACTTGGATAGTATGGATTAGTGTTTCTAAATATGATTGTGCTTCAAGAATATTAGGATACATTTTTTTAAATATGCATTCCAGTTTCTACCCCCACACCCTGGCCCAAGAAATTCTTATTCAGTGCATCAAAGAAAGTATTTAGTTTGACCTTCCTAAGTGCTTCTCATATATGGATGGGGTTGGAAATACTGAACTGGAGATATTTTCCAGAACTTGTATCTTTTTGTGTTTCCCCAGCACTGTTTCTTCTTTTTTAACATTTTACAATATGCCTTATATAGTAATTGTTTTCCCATACTTTATCTCCCCTTGCTTATGTGTTCTCTGAGAATAGAGCTGGATATTTCTAATTGTATTATCCCATATAGTACCTAGTATAATTTTTAGTAAAGAATAGGTATTTAACAAATAAGTGAATTGAATTCCTATCATCATTCATCTTAGTGCATCTTGGTATTTCCTCTTCACTTATCACTTGACCCCAATCCTTGATTCCCATATTCAGTTACTTTTCCAAGACATCAAACCAGAATAAAGTTGAGTTGTAAAGTGTGTTGTTTGCCAAACCACTACTTGGAGAAATGCTCCAGAAGAAACAACAGAACCTCATTTGGAGATGCTTTAATATCATGGTAATTGATCTGTATTGTTTTCTGACTAAAAATAATTGGGTAGGGAAAATGTGAATATACTTATGGAAACAGAGTACTTGAAAATGAGTCTTGGAAAATGCAGGGTGTGTGTCACTAAGAGAGGTTGCTTTTTTTTTTAAATATAACAAATACAACATTAACAACAACAAACAAAAATGATTTAACAAAAAATAATTTTTGTTTTTGTTTGTTGTTAAACAACACAAAATCTGTTTCTGTTTTATAACACATTTTGTGGACAAAAGTGTTCTAACAAATTTTTATTATCTGTATCACTCTCATCTAAAAGTAGTAAAGGAATATTAGAATACCAAAATTATTGACAAAATATTTTCACTTTGGAGATCACTGAAGTATAACTCTTTCCATTTTTGTGAGTTATTTTTTACACCTCTTATTTACAAAAACAAGGAAAATTACAAATAGATAAAAATATCTCATTTTTAACATGTTACCTACCTTACCCATTACATGTTTAAAGGGTCTTCATACTAAATAAAACAAAATTTTACTAGCATCTTTGGGGGAAATGTAAAATGTAATGGAATTACAGTTTTAATTTGTTTGCATAATTGTGCATCTCTGCTAAAATTTAAAAAAATATGCAAAAAATTAAGAATGCCAAATCGGAAGTATTTTCAACACATAAATACCTGAAATTGTATTGCCACATTACCATAGTCTGCCTTAATTTTACAAAACATTAAGGTAGACTAACCATAAGAATGATTCATGTAAACATTGCCTTTTTTTTTTTTTTTCATTTTAAAACATAATATAAAACCTAAGGGGGTGGGGAGGAAAGTGGTCATTTTAAACATGCTTACTCCAGCTCAAGTCTGGTTTAGGAAATGTAGCATTTCTTTGATTTTTAATTGTTCTTGTATTATTTGTGAATGTGACCACATGACTATAGTTTATGCTATTATGTTGTCAGGCTTCTGATAATGGGAAGGAATGTTTGTTTAGACTGTGTAGCTCTTCACTTTAATTCACTCTGGCTCCAGTGTGACATGTTAAAACTGCTATCAATGGAAAATCCAAATTTCCCAGAAAGACTTAAAACAACAGCAACCCCTGTGAACCAAAATTATCTCCTATTGAGGCTAATTACCTTAGTACACTTAGGAAAGTACTGCCGTAGGAAATCTGTCGCCCGGAGTCTCTCCTCTTCTGTAAAGTGCTTTTAGTTGATACGAAGTCATATATTTGCTGATTACTCTCTTGTAGCTTTTAGTACTGGTATAGGTGTGAAGAGCAACGAAAGGCTGAAGGGACATATTGCGTCATAAATAAATGTATGATGTAAACATGTTCTTAGAGATTGGGCCCATTAGGATGTGAGCTTTAAGTGAAAAAAGAATTGGAAAGCTCAAAATATTAGGGGACAAAATAGAACTCACTAAGTAAGAAATTTGCTAACACTGAAAAGTTACATACAGCAAATAACTTACATAAGAGTTGGTAAATAGGTTGTGTTTGCTTATGTGTTCCTACTGTTTTGAACATACTCTTGCCATTACCTTTAAAAAGGCCAATTCTATACACACAATTGCATGTACAAGATGGTGGTTTACCTACTTGTCACTTACAAAAACAACAATAAAATGAAATGTACAGGCTCCAAATTAACAAGGCACTTCTTGATAATTCTGTAAAAGTCTATTGATTACTTGAAGTTAGAGTAAAATTGAGTGTGATTGAAATCAACATTAAGTGGATGTTTAAATCAATTATTTCTGGATTCTAAACACAAACATATTCCACTATAGATTTACTTCCAAAAATTATTGCAAACTGGGCAAACAGGATCTGCCCAATATGTAAATTCATGGCCTGGATATGGTACCTCATGCTGTAATATAGGGTTTCAGTTTATTTGTTAGGGTTTGACTTGTCAATTTTGTTGCCTAATTGATGATTATAATTATTAAATAAATAATTTTCTATAATTATAAATGTGATTGCAAACACATCAACAAACATGGGAACTGAGCTTGAGTGGCCATACTCAGATATAAATGGTCATATACACAATCTAGTATATACATATATTAATTTTTTAGATTATCATTGAAACTAAAACACAAAATTTACATTTTCTTTCAGAGAACTCAGTGTTGCTACTTCGAGGAAAAACATCTAACATAGGTGCTTAATGAATGGTAGCTATCAAAAGTCTTTGGTTTACAATGCTTCAGTTGAAATTTTATGACATGAATTTTTTTATTACTTCTACTCTATTCTAATTACATACGTTTACTTCTAATCAGCTTTTGGCATTAAGTGTATATGATCAAAATAAAAACTAAACTAAGTATCTGTTATGGTAAGAGGAAACAGTTGTGACAATGCTTCCCAAGGATTTATAGCACTATATTAGAATGTTTTAAGTGAATTAATGAAGATAATATATGGATATGGGTAGATATGTAAAATACTAGTAACCAAACACTGAAGCAGAAGTAATTAGTCTCCATCAAAAGTAAAGTCAGCTTGTGAAGCTCCTAAATTGTCCTCCATACCTCCCTCACATTCTTTCCTTGCGCATGAAAAAGTAGAAAGCATAGAGATTTTATCGTAAAGCCTGTCTCAGTCTAAGTGTAAGCTATGTCCAAAGTCATGTTAGCCTCATTCCTTCACTTTATGATCTACAACTCATCACCATTGTTTGGGAAGCCTGTCTCATTTTGCCCTAGGGGAGATCTTTTAAAATAATACTTGCCAAACTCCTCCCTTAAGTCCTTTATGAGAGGTGGTGTACCGAATAAGATCCTGATTTTCATCTGCTCATGTCTTGACTGTGTAGAATGAATATGTTTAAAAGTCATATCCATGTATGTCTTATTTCTTTACATCCTTGAATGAAGCATCAGCTTCATAAAGAGCAACTCTCTACATTTATCGGTGCATGAAAACTGTCTCAAAACTTAGCTGTTTAAAACAATAATCATTTATAATATTATATGGATCCTTGTGGGGTCAGAATTCCAAGGACAGATAAGCTAGATGTCTGGCTCATGTCCTGTTCCCGGTTTCTCATGAGGCTGGGGTCAAGGTGTCAGCTAGGGCTGCAACATCTGAAGGCTTGACTGGGGCTGGAGCATCTGTTTCCAAGGCAGCTTACACATGCCTGATAAGTGAATACTGGTTGTTGGTAGAGATCTCGGTTCTTCTCCATGTGGGCTTCTCCATAGAACTATTGAAGTGTCCTTGCCATGTGACTGGCTTCCAGAATGATCAATTCAAGAGAGAGGAGAGTGGGTGCTTCCAGATCCATTATGCCAGATTAGAAATTACACTGTCATATTCATAATACTTTATTGGTTACACAAATCAGCTCTATTTAAAGGAGAAGGAAGTGAACAACTATGCATATCAGCAGCTGAGAATCACCAAGGACCATCATGTAGGTTGGTTATCGCACTCCTCTAGTGTGGCAAATTCTTTCATCCGTGGAGCCTCCCAAATCTAGACTTAGGGTAAAAGTATTGACGCCTGGATGTGGCCTGTGATTCAAGTCACACTCCCCAGTTCTGCTATTCTAGTAAGTTACCTCATATTTTGTTGCTGAAACTTGCATGCGTTTCTTAAATAGTTCATCTCAGAAGATTGGGCATATGAGTTCAATTTCACAATTAGCTTCCAATCACCCTTAAGCCATATCTTGATTTTGCCTCTGTCCATTCAGTTTGTATCCCCAGTGCCACTCCTCTTATATCAGACCCCTGTCATCTCTTTGGGTGGCTGCGAAAATAGGTGTTCCATAGCCTGGAATGTCTGTTCTTTACCTTTTATTCTAAAAATATGACCTGTGTTTTAAAACCACCATTTTCTCTGATGCTCTAAACGTCACTCACTCCAAATTAAAATGCTTACTTTCTATGCTCTTGTATCATTTTTATATTTTCATATTATATTTTTTAATATGACACTTGTCATACGCTGAGTTGCATTAGAATTGGGCAAAGCTTACCTCAGTGTTCTACACTGAGGCTCATTCACAGTTGATTTCCTCGGCACCTACCACCTTGTAGATTCTGACCAAATCAGGTATTCAGGTCAAGTTTCATTTATCATTTTAGCATTGCTACTTAAAATATTTCCAGGCACCAGAATCATTTTGCACATGAAATGCCTCCGATTTCCAGCTGCTGGAAATCATCTCTTGGACGTCTAACACTCTCAGAATGGCTTCCCTCTCCCCAGACTTGGTTCCATGGCATGGGATTGGGAGGTAGGAGTAGGGTACCTTTATGGTCAGCTTGGACATGGGAACAGAATAACAGTGTCTGTGTTTTAAAAGACTCTACTCTTGGGGTGCTTGGCTGACTCAGTCGATTGAACATCTGGCTTCATCTCAGGTCATGATCTCGCTCATGGGTTCTAGCCCTACTTCAGGCTCTGTGCTGACAGCTCAGAGTCTGGAGCCTACTTAGGATTCTGTGTCTCCCTCTCTCTCTGCCCCTCCCCTCTTCACACTCTGTCTTTCTCTCTCAAAATAAATAAACATTAAAAAATATTGAAAGACTCCACTTTTGAGTCAGTGCCTTCATTCTTACATCACAGCAAGCATCTTCCCTAGCTTTTGCTGCTTGGGTAAGCAAGCTGCCTGAGCATATCCAGCTCATTACATGTGGGATATCTTTTCCTTCTTGTTTTACTTAGCAATTAAACATGTGATCAGAATGCAAAACAGTGCATTTACTCAATATTTTGAGTTAATTTTGTTTGATATTGATTACCTCAAATATTCATGCCTCAATAAATGGTGTTTCTAAAGTTTAAATGTTTTATTTTCTAAATATGTCAACTTTGAAAAGAAAAAAATCAAAATTATTACACATTTACATTTTCTTCAGTATTCTTCTTAAAGCAATTGTAGACTATAACACCTGTATAGAAAGTAGAACTGTTCCAACTTCTGTATGACCATTTTCTAGTGCCACAAAGATCACCCAAAAAGAGACAGTCCATTTTATTCCCATTTTGTTTGGGTCCATGGCCCCCCTGACTTACTCTTCACTGGCTTACAGACCTTCATCACAGACACACAGCATCACACATCACAATAGTGCATTTGCACAATAGTGCATGGGTTACTATTTGAAATTTCTTTTAGAACAATTGTCTTATTGGATGCCTGTGGTGGTTAACTTCCTGGGTAAATATGTTCAAAATAAGGTTTATGAGAGTACAGCTCAGTGTGAAACCATTTCACATGGAATAATAGTTCCATTATGAGACCAGTTTTTCCTACTCTGATTTTAGAAACAGTCTTTTGTATTGCTTATCTCTTTCCTCTCACATTTTACCATAGGCAGGGAGGCTGGGAGTTTCCTTCAACACATGGCCGGAAAATCTTCTTAGACAGCTTTACACATTCATTAGGTATATTTTCTATTGTTCAAATTACCGCAGGTAATAGTGTTGCCAAACTTTCTCCCACTACATACAAAACTAGGTTCACTTTTCCCAACTTTGAGTCATTTTGAGTCATTTCCCAACTTTTCTGACTTTTTTTGTACACCTTCACAATAGCCTGCTTGAAGTCCTAACACTCTCCTTGACACCTCTCTAGCTTTTGGCAGCCACCTTGCTGGGTCCTAAAGTCAGTTTTGTTGTAGGCTTTTGTTACAGTAGCACCCTACTATATTTTTCAATCTGAACAGCCATAGAAGTTTTGAGATGTTAATGAATGCTTGACTACAGAAAAACCTAAAGCATAATTTGTTTAAATGTGGATAAGTGCCCTTCTTATTAACTTTGAAAGTTTACATTTGTCTCTTTTTCTGATGACTTAAAGAGATGAATGTAGTTTATTGCTCCTCTCCTTGCCTTAATACTAGAAAACATGTTTATATTTGGCTTTTATGTTTTGAAGCATTTCTTGGAGTTGACTTTTTAGTTCTTATTTCTTTTGCTTCTTTCTTTATTTTTTCCTTTGTAACAATAATTTATTCAGAAGTGAAGAAGCATACATATTATATTTAAAAGACAGAAATAAGAAGCTGTCCAACTGGGGCGCCTGGGAGGCTCAGTTGGTTAAGTGTGCAACTTCAGCTCAGGTCATGATCTCACAGTTCATGAGTTCAAGCCCTGCATCAGGCTCTCTGCTCTCAGCACAGAGCCTGCTTCATATCCGTTGTCCTCTTCCCTCTCTCTCTCTGCCCTTCTTACCAACCTGAAAACTAAATAAACATTAAAAAAAAAAAGAAACGGTCAAAC